AGCCCGCTGGTGCCCGAGAACCTGCTGAAGAAGCGGAAGGCCTACCAGGCCCTGAAGGCTACGCAGGCCAAGCAGGCGCTGCTCAACAAGCGCAAGGTGCCGCGGGGCGCCGGGGGCCGAGGGAGGCTGCGGGCGCTTGCGAGGCGGGCTGTGGTGTCGGGAGCAAGAAGCGTGCGGCATTGGGCCCCTTCGCTTAAAAACGCCCTGGTAGTTCAGCTCAGGTGCTGCAGCCAGCGTGCTGCTGCGAATGGCTGGGCCTGTTCTGCTCTTGCTCGTGTGGAAAGCAGTGGGTTTGGGGCTGACAGAAACGTAGTGGTCCTCGAACCTGTTTCTGCTGTGTCTAGAAGTATCCGGAGTCTTGCTCCACGTATATATGTATATATATTTTTCCTGGGGAAAACCTCTGTTGGCTCATGGGTTTTATGTTACTGCCCAACACTTAAGCCTTGCAGTTTAATTCAGTTTTATGTCTCTTCTTCAGTTCTCAGTCTGAGCTTTAGTTTTGTTTCTCTTGGCCTTGTACATTAAAAACTGCTTTCTTCTTATTGTCCCCTCTCCCTCCCCCTCGCCCTCCCCAAATTAAAAGAGTATCACACAAACTCTGAATTCAGTTTGACCATTTAATTTACTTTCATTATAATTTGATGTAAACCTGTAAGATGCAGAGGTGCTCGTGTTGGGGAGGGTGATCATTCTTTTACCACTTTGTCTTTAGCACCAAAAAGGGAAACAGATCCAGTTTAAACGCCTGGAGACTTTTGTTCGAGATTCATGGCGCAAACACCGAGACGAGGTCCGGCTGCGGCGCATGAAGCAGAGGCCTGGAGGGGTGGCTGTACCTCAGGACCACAATCTGGCCTTTGTTGTACGGATTGTAGAGTAAGAAGCTTTTGCTACTCCTTGCCTTTTGTTATTGCTGCTGTTTGTAATGTTACATTATTTCTAAATAAAGACGTACGGTCAGTGTGGACATGCTTTTTTGTAGGTAGTTTGAGGCTGTTTTGTTGTTGTACTAGAGAAAGAGGATTGCTGACAACTTTTTTTTTTCATGATTCAGGATTAAGGGAGTGAGTCTGAAAGTACGAAGAGTGATTGAGTTGCTTCGATTGAGAAAAATTTTCAGTGGAACATTTGTCAAACTGACTCCACAGTCTCTGAAGATGTTACGGATTGTGGAGCCTTATGTAGCATGGGGGTAAGTTCTGTTTTGATGCTTTAGTAGGAGATAGAGTGTAAATATCACAGCTTTACTTTTTTTCTTTCTTTTTTTCCTTTTAGTATCACAGCGTGGTCAAATCCATACATGGATTTTTCAGTGAAAGCCTTAGCATTAGCAACTTCAGAATTAAAATTTGTCCCTGTTTATCTAAAACATATCTATGTTCTCAAAACATACCTTGGTCACTTTCACACTCATCAGAAGCAGAACAGTTGTCTCCTCTGTCAGTTACATATATATATTTTTTTGTTACAGATACCCTAATCTCAAGTCTGTACGAGAGCTCATTCTGAAACGGGGTCAGGCCAAGATTAACAAAAAGAGGGTCCCTCTGACAGACAACGTGTTGATAGAGGAACATTTAGGTAAGGAGAGAGATAAGAAAATAAAATGAATCAAAGCACGTAAGAGGGAAGGGAGGAAGAAAGATGTTATGGGGTGTGTATGTGGAGGATTGGTGATTCTGGGGTGACTTGCTGAAAGATGCTACAGTTAAGGTAAAAATACCACACACACACAATTTTTTTTTTTTTTTTTTTTTTTTTTGCTACTAACAACTTCTCTAGACACAGCAGACAAAGCCCTGCCAGAAACGGCACATATAACTTACATTATTTATAATTAGTTACTTTTTACTTTCATTTTTCCTCCAGCTTGTGCACTAGGTTGTGCAACCTCAGGGGTATCATCACAAACAGCTTCTTTACCAACATACGCTCACACCTCCTATCCCACACCTCTGCACACCACTCCACATCATACAAGTCTCAGGAAAAATGCTATTGGACTTTGACGTGACTTATGTTAGGTTGCATTAAGCTGACTGTTGAACTTTATTTATTTATTTCATCTCCTGTTCTGCAGGGTCTTTGAAAATGTTAAGGTTTAAGAGCTGTACCTTGTATTTTTCATGGTATTTTCATGGTACCAGGTATTTTTCATGGACATCTGATTCTGCTATGAAGTACTGCAACCATCTCCTGATTGCTGCTGGCTTTATTTTTAAAATAAAATTAATGATGCAATTTGAGGAAGAAGATGCCTTTGGTGTAAGCACAAGATGACTTGAACTTCCTGGAGCAAGTTGACTTCTGCACCTCAGCAAAACAAACTTTTTGGATGCCTTACCACAATTCCGTGTTAGCCATTTCCTGCCTCTAACTCTGACAAAAATACCTGGCTGTTGTTCCATTTAACCTTATTTTTTTACAACTGATATGTGGTGTTAATACGTTGATCCATTTCTCACTGAGGGAAGTGCTTGAAGCTGCACTTGCTTGTGCAGTGCTCTTCTCAGGTAGACATAGGCTTTGCAGCCACCGGTTTAAAACAGTGTTCTGCTGACAGGCGGAGGAAGAAGGTAGATATGGTGCCAGTCCTGGCCAGGAATACCAGGATATTTCTGGAAGTACCTGAATCATACTTTATTTTACAACCTGTGCGTTTGTGCTGGTGACATAAGATAGCACAACCTGACATTCTTTTCTAAGTTCAATTATTCCATGGTAGGAAAGTCCATTAATTCTATAAATATGTCTGTAGATTTTATATGAGTAAGGATTTTTCTAATAAACTTTATAAAAAGTTACCATACTTTTGTATGATTTTAAAGCTGCTGAAACTAGGCTCTATGCTGTTGTAAAAGAATTAGTTATTGAGCTCTCTGCTGGTATGAAAGCAAATAGCAAACAGCGATAGAGAGGTAATTCCTGCTATTTCTGTGGTAGGTGAATGGGTTCTTTACATCTCTTCCAAAAGGATTCTCCTTTCATAACTCATCATACAAGTGCTGCAAACCTTAGTACAACCAGTATTTTAGTTAATATTGCTGCAGTTTAGTTAAAAATAATCAGAATATTGATGTAGCGGAAGAAATACATGAATGTTGTAGATAAGAGCTTTTGAATTCTTATTCCAGCTTTTGTTCCTAAGACATTTTAAGTTCCCATTTCTAGCAGTGGCCTGGTGTAGAATGTTCTCTTGTGATACCTTTGTATTAAAGGTGGAAGGCAACATTTGATTCCAAGTTCACTAGACTTGTCACTGAATGACAATTTACAGCGTAAGTCAAAGAATGAAGAAGGGAGAGTTGTGGTCGCTATGAAACATTTTGAATCTTATAGAGAAATCCAGGAGTGCAGTTTAGAGAAAGAAATCTAGAGTACATGTTTCACCTAAACAATGGAGCAACAAACTAAGGAGTATGGTAAGTTTTCAAGCTTTATTTATAAAAACACAAATACAAACATAGATGTAGGACAGACACTGAAGAAATATACACCAACCTTGAGGAACATCCCCAAAACTGCCTAGTCCAGGAAAGTCATTAATATACAAGGCATTGTGCATTTGACTTTTCTGAAGAACAGCTGCTTTCAAGGGCTAGGAACGACAAGTAACTAAGCATTCAACTGTTCTGCTGATTAGCTTCATGATTGTTTATGGCATACAGAACTGATTCTTTTACCATGAGAATCTGGTGTGTTGGAGCAAGATTTTTAAATGTTAATAGACCTTGAGTGCCATTAGAGCATAATATATATAAAGCTTTTAAGCTATAGACACTTAAGATGGTTCCAGCAACTGCTCCTAAGGTAGTGTCTATAACACACTATTGACTTGGTGCATCCTGTTCAGTATAATAATCAGTTTCTAGTAGTGGGTAAGTTCTTCATATCCTTCTTGGAAAGGATGGCAGCTTAGACTAGTGTGACCTCACCGTATCTGTAATCATAGACAAGTGCTTTGTCCTCTTTCTGTATTGTGCTCCTGCCAAACCACAGTAACAGAAGGCTGCTATTCATTGCTTAGTTTGTTCACAGTGCAGCTACACAGGACAGGGTAGAGATGACAAAAAGCACATCTTAAGGAAATGAGTCCTTCTTGTAAGCTACCATACTATTCACTTTGTGGATTGTGGTAGTGAAGGAGCGAAGACGAACCTCTTCCGAATTGGCTATGAACTGCGGTCCGGACTCTTCCCACTTCTCTGGCACAGCCAAGTCTTTATCTGTGTAAATCAGCAAGTCAAAGGCACCTATAAGCAGAGGGGGACAAGTAAACAGTAAAGTGGGCATAAGAATCAGCTTGTTGGAAGAAGGTTAAACATCTGAAGTTTAAGGAAATTGAAGTGGTACTAGTTATGCGAAGAGAAGTACATTCACAAGGGAAGGTTCTCACTATGTTTGTATCAGTAGAGTTTTCTATTTAAAGATTTGATGAGATTAACTTCTCTCCCGTTTTTAAACATATGCATTAAAGCAGCTGAGTTATATATAGTATTTGCTTCAGATAGATGCTGTGAGCACAGCACAGAGTGATACAAATATGAATGCTCGTAGTTATATAAAATAATTATGCAAAGTACCAAGTACACTTGCTAGTTTTATTAAGTTAATGAGCTCTGTCATTTTGACAAAAGTTTAAATTATTTCAGGGTAGAAAGTACCAGTAATCCCCAAAATGAAGTTTCAAAGTTCTTCAATGAGATCATATATTTTCCTTAATGATTTTTAGTGTTTATTGTAGAAAAAGCAGTATGGGATAATCCTTCAAGATGATCTGACATATCTTTCCAATATTGTGCAGTGGCAACAGATGTGGTCTCCACTTAACAACAATCTCATGTCAGAAATGCTACAGTAAGTGACACTGTATGTTGTAATAAGAAAACTAAGCATACAAGGCGAACCAGAAGTGTTTTCTAAATTCTCTCCCCTCCCTCTTTTACAAATGGGACTTGATTTCTTTAGGGAGGTTAGGAATACTCACAGGCAGTTTCCAACAAAGGCAGAAAAGTTACTGTGGCAGTTATTTGTCTGATAACAGATCGGATTTCATCCTGAATAGCCTTCTGAGATTTTTCGCGGGGTGCACTGGAAGAGAAAGAAAGCTTTGTTAGGAAAGGAATTTTCTACTACGCTAGCAGATTTCATTAATAATTTTCTCTCTATTAAGCTGCCACTGTTCTGCTTGCTGTATAATTTTGTGTAACTGGGACATAAAGTCTTAGGTAAACAGGCTTAGAACAATTGATTTTCAATTTCAAGTTGTTTTTCTGTGAAGCTTCACAGTACTTGTAAGGCGTCAGTTACCTCTTCACTGTGAAGCGAATGACAGTGTTTTGGCAAAACGATAGGAAAGCAGAACTAATTCTTTAGGGCACCTACCTGATACTGTTTTTTATGTTTTGCTGAAGTTGAAAAGTCAGGTTTCTATTTGATACTGTTCTTACAGCATACAAGGATTACATGTGCTTCAGTACTACAACTGGTTTACACAAGGAATAGCAGTAGGCTAGGTAACAAGTTTGAAGAGACATCTTCTCTGTTCATATGGGGAGAAGAGGTACAGAACGGCACAGAGGCTCGTAACAGCTGCCAGGAGTATCAGAGCAGGTTGTTTCCTGATCAGGCGCAGGGGAACACTGGTGCTCACCTCTCATCCTTTGCAGTTTTGTCACACTCTATGTCAAACTGCCACCTCTCGAGGACCTCATTGTTTTCGATACTGGAGATCACCACCACCAGGCGCTGCACGATGCACTTGTACAACCACTCTGCAAGGAGCCACAGCAGTTATTGGCAGCACAAGAGAGACAACAGGCAGAAATACAGCAAGGAGAGGGCAGAGTCCTGTCCCAGCACCAGCACCCCTGCCCTCCCCTGCACCTTTCATCTGCTCCACCACGTTGTTGAGGTAGTTCTGGAGATCGGGGTCGGTGGTGACGAGGAGGGTGAGACCATACTTCTGCACGCGGGTGAAGGTCTCCGGCGGATAGATGCCCCGCTGGTAGAGGATGCTGTTGATCCCATAGGCTGCAAGACACCGCGAGGAGAGAGGGTGAGACGGGAGGAGGGGGCAGGAGCACGGGCCAGCCCAGCCCCGCCTCTCCTCGGCCGTCATGGCGGCGCAAAGGGCGGCGGGGGACCACCCCCCGTTCCC